TAAAGAGGCCAATGCTTCACCCCGCCTTTTCGAATTTAACGATGCAAGTGGAACGCCAGAGTACATCGAAGAGAACTCGTGCATGCCTCTGCACAGAATATGCGAAAAGCGCGAGGCAAACGCCCTGAGTGGGCTCGTGGACATTCGTACATGCACGTGCGGATTGTATAATCTGTCTACGCCCAAATAACGTTGTGTAACACCAAACGGACAAAGTCAACACAACTTGAGCAACACTGCTTGAGCCAAAATGGCTACGGAAAAAAAACATACCAAACAATGCGAAACACATCGTCCCCAGACTACGTTTTGACTTCCCCCGAACGTGCGCGCCGCCCGTGCCGAGCCGAGACATACACACAGCAGAAATGTACACGTCGTTCATTCCGAATCGTGCTCCTTTCAAATCGTGCTCGGTCCTGACTGTTCATGGTCCCCCCCTGGTGGCCAGGAAGAGGCCCAGGATAGAAGAATTGGAAATGAGAGGATCTCGACCTCAAAAAAAAAGAAAAGAATCCTGGAATAATTAGACATGAACTAAGTTAAAGGGGCCCTGGGACACACACACACACAAATACACACAAATAAAATTATCCCCCATAGTTCCTCATATTTGCTGTGTGTTTGTCTTCCCCCCACTTCCCATATTTTCCCACATTTTCTGGGGAATCCAAGATTCATTGTGTCTGTGTTTTTTTCCCCCTCCTGAAATATGTATACGTTCGGGTGAGTGGTGCCGACCACGCCGAGAACACCTCGGTGCCGGCCTGCCTCTTGACGTTCCCGGCCTCCGCGGGGACCCCGCCGGGCCCCAGGGCTGTCAACAACCAAAAAGAGGGGGGGGTCCTCCTCCTCCTCCTCCTCCTTCTCCTCCAGCTCCTCCTCCTCTTCCTCCTCGTCCTCCTCCTCCTCCTCCTCCTCCTCGTCTTCCTCCTCCTCCTCCTCCTCCTCCTCCTCCTCCTCCTCCTCCTCCTCCTCCTCCTCCTCCTCTTCCTGAACAGAATAGGCCCGCGCTCTGCGGGGCCTCCGTCCGGGGGCCCGTCGGGGAACAGGAGCCAAGACCACCGATCTCAAGGAGCCCAAAGACACACAAAGAAATACACACATACAAGGATTGCCCATCATTTCCCATATGTTTTGGGTTGTTGTCTTCCCGCCCAATTCTCATATTTTCCTACATTTGCCTGGGAGTCGACGATTGATTGTGTCTGTGTTTTTTCTCCTCCTGATCTGGGCAGGGAGGGAGGGCGAGGAGAGGGCAGAGCAGCAGCGCCGCAGGGGCTGCAGATCCGTCGCCGCAGGCCTCCCACTCCTCGCCATCGTCACGTCCCGTCATGGCGGCAATGCGTCCTGCTCCTCCTCCTCCTCTCTTGCTCCTCCTCCTCCTCCTCCAACTATTCCTCCTCCTCCTCCTCCTCCTTCTCCTCCTCCCTCGCCCGAAGCCGTATTCGTGCTTCCCTTCCTCGTCGTGGCTTCGGGGGGAAGGCGAGGCGAAGGATGGAGGCTGGATAAAGCAGACGGAGGGGGGAGACGCATGAGACAAATCAACACCAACAGGGGCGAGAGGGAAGGATGATTACAGTGACGATGGCGGCACGAAAAAACGGGACGCATGTCTTACAGTCGGCCCGCATCATGAGGAGGGCGCGCCGCTGGATGACCCCAAAGGAGGGGGGTGGGGGGGGACTCCCCCCCCTTTTCCCCGATCCGTCGTCGGGGTCCCCCCCCCTCTACTCCCCTTTCCCGGTCCGTCGTCGGGGACCCCCCTCTTCCCCCCTTTCAACAGGGGAGGGGGGGAGGTCCGACCCCCCCCTCACCCCTGTGGCCACCAAATTCGCACCCCCCCCCTTCGCCACGGCGCCCCCAGTCTCTGGAACCCGACCCCTACCACCCTTAACACTAATCCTCACCATTGCTCTAGCCCCTAACCCGAACCCCTAACCCAAACCACAGCCCCAAACAGTACTCACTACTCATTACGCACTACTCACTACCCACAATTCACTACTCGCTACTCACTACTCACTTGTCACTACTCACAACTCACTACTCACGACTCACTACTCACTACACACGACTCACTACCCACGACGCACTACTCACTACTCCCTACTCCCTACACACTATTCACTAGTCACTCCAAACTACTCACTACCCACTACTCAATATTCACTATCCAGTACTCACTGAACACAACTCACTACCATCTACTCGTTAACCACAAATCACTACTCACTACCCACTAACCTCTATCCACTACTCACACTTCACTACTAACTACTCACTGCCCACTAGTCACTACTTACTAGTGGGAACTCCCCGTCCACTACTCACTACCCACTGCCTAGAACCCACTATTCACTATCCGCTACTCACTACCCACTACGCACTCGCTACTCACTACTCACAACTCCCTGCTCCCTACTCACGAACCACCAGCCGCAAGCCGCTACTCACAACTCAATACTCACCCCTCATTACTCACGACTCACTAACTTTACTCGTTACTCCCTACTCACTACCGGCTACAAAATACCCACTTCTCGCTTCTCACTACTCACTACATCCTACTCCCTACCCACTACTCACTACTCACTACTCGCTACTCCCTACTCGCTACGCACTACTCCCTACTCGAAACTCACTACTGACTCCTGACTACTCCCTCCGCACTACTCACGACTCACAAAGACGTACTCGCTACTCACTACTCACTACTCGCTACTCCCTACTCGCTACTCCCTACTCTCTACTCGCTAATCACCCCTCATTACTCGCTACTCTCTGCTCACTGCGCACTACTCACTACTCACTCCTCGCTATTCGCTACTGTCTACTCCCTAATCCCTACTCCCTGCTTACTACTCACTACCCACTACCACTACTTCCTCACTAATTACTTCCTTCCCACTACTCACTACCCACTACTCACTACTCACTAATCTCTACGCGCTGCCCACTACAGCCACTACCCATTACCCACTACTCACTACTCACCACTCACGACTCACTGCGCACTACTCACTATCAAATACCCACTACTCACCAATCGCTACTCAAAACACTCTACTCTCTACTCACTACCCGAGAGGCCCCCTTCCCAAGCCCCCTGTTCGGCGCAAAGGGGGACAGGGGGGGCGCGAATCCCCCCCCCCAAAAAAAAAAACCTTTCCATTGCCATATGGGGGGATTGGGGGGGCGCCGGGGTGCCCCCCCCCGCCCCCGCCCCCTTCGCCCTCAAGGGAAGGGGGGGGAGGGGGGGGGGGGTCGAAAATCCCACCCCCATCTATGGGGGGGATGGGGGGTGTCTCTCGGAGCACGCCCCCCCAATCCACTGGCGCGCTTTCCATAGTAAAGATGCGCGATCAGAGCGCAAGGGCCTCGGGCGCCCATGCCGAAGCTTCTCGGGCGGGGCGCGGCCAACGCAAGTGGCCAATGATGGACCAAGGAGGCAAGTGCAAGGGCACCCTTCCCTTAGGAAGGTCCCCCATCCTTGCCGCGCGGGCAGGCTGCGCGAAGCGCGATCCCAAGTCGGGGGCTCAGAATCCGAAGCCCCCCCTGCGGATGGGGTGGCCTCCAGGCCCCCCCCCCCTCCCCCCCCCCCCCCCCCCCCCCCCCAAAGATGGATGGGGGGCGACGAGGCGAGGGCGAAGGCGATCGCGACGACGAGCACCGAAAAATGATGGCCACGACGACGGCAAACCTCCCTGGAGGCCGAACTCAAGCGAAACGCGAGGCAGGCAAGCGCGCCCCCGCGCCCGAAGAGCACGGCGCCACCGCGCCAAGCCCGAGAGGAGGGGGGCGGGGTTTGGGGGAATTTTCGCCCGAATCTTATCTCCCCTAAGACTGCGCATTTCGGCCAGAAAGGCCGAAGCTGTCAGAAGAGCTGCTACCACAAATCGCACAATTGACTGACGCACGAGGAGGACATCGCCGAGCCTGGGGGCACCGCGCCACCACCGCTGCGCGCGGGTCCGGGGCCAGGGGGGGGGGGAGCGGAGAGGCGGGGCGGGGGGGGGGGGGGGGCAACGACAGGCAAAGGCGGGGATCTCGCTAGCGCTGACCTGGGGGAGGGGGGGGGCGGTAGAAGCGCGCGCGCGGGTGGGCGGGCGCGGGGGTGGGTGGGGGGAGGGGCGGCCCTGGATCACCCCAGACCCGTCAGCCTCCACGGTGCCAAACCGACCAGGCCCGCCCTCTTTCATATGTCCTGTTCCTCACAGTCCTCGGCGAGGTGGGAACGCACCGCGACCGGCGAGAGGGTTTGGGAGATTGGACTGGACGGGCGGGGATGAGGGCCCTGAGTCCCGGCGAAATTTTGCTCCCTGGCCACACCCTGCGGGGCACGCTGCGCCCGGCGAGCCACGCGCCAGGGAGAGCCCGCTGCGCCCAGATCATGCGTTACCGAAAAATTTCGGTCGCGACCGACGGCTTCGGTCGTTTGCCCGCGCCCGGTCGCGACCGGTCTCCGTTACCGGGCGCGACCGGTCGCGACCGTTCGCCGTTGCCGGGCGCGACCGGGCGCGACCGGTCGCGACCGATGACTGACGTCAGGCGGCCGATGCCTGACGTCAGGTTGCCATGTTGTTGATGATAATGGTCATGATGATGTTATCGTAGCAGTTGAGGTTCACGTGTGTCATCAAGAGCTGGTATTTCATAGCCTGTAGATATGCTGCATGAAATGGACAGTACATGTGATCTTGATGTTGTGGGACGCCCTGGCGTCATTTCCTCCTCTTCCCTCCCATATTCCTCCTCATCGTTCTTTGTCCTCTCCTCTTTCTCTCTCCGTATTCTCCCAGTCCTCTTCCTCCCCATCCTATCCTCTCTCGTTTTTCCATCTTATCATTTTCCTCCTTTTCCTCCTCTTCCTCCTCTTCCTCCTATTCCCTATCCTCCGCCCTCTCCTCTTCCTCCTCTTCCCCCTCTTCCCCCTTTTCCCTCTCCTCTTCCTCCTCGTCCCCCTCCTCTTCCGTTGCCGTTTTTTAGGCTGTAGCGCCATGGCGCAAGCTTCGTGCCTCGTCCTGCGCCTCGACGGGGCCGACGCGCCCCCTGGCCTCGGGGAGCCATGGGAGGTGATGGAGGTCGGGGACGTGCCCCCTGGCCTCCCCATGGCGTCGACGAGTAACCGCCAGGGGGTCAAGCGGTCCCGTCCGAAGAGGGGCTGGATTGATCCGCTGTTGGAGCAGGCTTCGCCACGGCCATGGGAAGCCTGCCCCGACATGATCGCCGTGCTGCACTGCCCTCCAGGCGGAGGGCAGAGTTGGCCCCGCCCCTGGGCGATCGACGCGGGGTGGGCGCCAGGGCAGCCCGCGTTCACCCTGACGCCCACCTCCACGACGCACTTGCTCATGGAGTGGGAGGTGGGCGGGGGCAGGCGGCTCCAATGGTACCGCAGGGTGGACGCCCTGCCGTACCGCTTCTACTTCGCGCGGGCGTGAAGGTTGCGTGGCATCGAAAAACCCCCCCCCTCCTCTCAACCTCCTTCCTCCTCTGCCCATCCTTCCTTCCTCCCTTCATCATTATTCCACCCTTCCCCCCGCCCCCCTCCACCCCCTCCCCCACTCTTTCTCCCACTCTTCCTCCTCCACTCTCCCCATTCACTCTTTTCCCCCGCCCTTCTTCTTCCCCCCTCTCCTGCTGCTCGTCGTCGTCTCGATCTGCCCCGCCCCCCGGCGCTGGACGCAGAAGGATGAGCAGAGGGATAGATTGCGAAGTGGGAGGGGGGATCGTTGATGGGTTAGGTAAGGAAGTTGGCAAGGGAGGCAAGCGAGGAGGAGGGGGAGGAGGAGGAGGAGGAGGAGGAGGAGGAGGACACACGAGCATGACGAAGAGGACGGGGGCATATCTGGAGGAGAGAAGATAGGGATGACTAGCACGAGGATGCGCCTCGCAGCCGCTTCTAGGTTTCTCGAGATGTCCGCCCGCGCTGCCTGGGGCCGTTCGCTCGCGGGTTCACCCCCTGGGCCCCCCGTTGGGCCCGAGGCAATCGCCTCAGGCCCCGCCCAAGGCCTCTCCGAGGCCGTCGCCGCCGCTCCGCAAGCCAACCTGTCCATTGACGGGCTGCTTGGAGCAGGCGCTCCTGGGCCACTGTGAAGCCCAGGGGGCGAATGTCGCGTTCGAGCTCGGACAATACCATTACCTCACAAAGGACAAGGCCGCCCATGGGCCTAGCATGGCAAAGAATCCAGAGCTGGCGGGCAGGCGTTGAACGCAGCATCGACCGCCGAGGCGAAGGAGGGCGAGGAGTACGAGAAGGGGAAGGGGGGCGCGAGGAGGGACGAGGGAGGCGGATGGGTGAGGACGTTGACGCCAGTCTGATGTCAGTCTGACGTCAGACTGACGTCAGCATGACATCTGACGTCAGTCTGACGTCAGTCTGATGTCAGGCACCCCTCCTCCTCCTCCTCCTCCTCCTCCTCCTCATCCTCCTCTTCGCATCAGACTGGCGTCAGCATGACATCTGACGTCAGTCTGACGTCAGTCTGATGTCAGACACCCCCTCCTCCTCCTCCTCCTTCTCCTCCTCATCCTCATCCTCCTCCTCCTCCTTCTGATCCTCTTCCTCCTTATCCCCTTCCTCCTGCATCCCCCCTCATCCTCCTACTCGTCGCCCTCATCCTTCTCATCCCTCTCCTCATCGTATACCAACTCCTCCTCCTCCTTCCCATCATCCGCCCCCTGCGCCGCCTCCCCGTCCCCCCGCCCGCCTTCCCAGATAGAAGTGCTGCTGCGGGCTGCTCCAGAGGCGGAGGCGCCGCGGGTGCAGCTGCGCGACGCATGCGTGGCGGTGCTGTCCAAGTACCACAGGGGATAAGGCGGATGAAGCGGGGGAATGAGGAGGATCAGGATCAGGAGGACAATCATGATACTTGTGATATGGGAGGCACAGGGGAGTAGGAGGCAGGAGAGGAGGGGGTGATGAGGATGTCGGATGCTGAGGGAAACACTGGTAAGACTGATGAGGCGCACGTGTATTGAGGTGGCACGTCGATGTAGGATAGAGAGGGTATGATGGAGGGGGTGTTGATGAGTATGAGGAGGGGACAGGATGTCATGGTTCTCGGGCTTCCACCGCGAGGTACCCCCGCGCCTCCAAGGAGGCGGCTGGCACGCCAGCCGAGAGGGGCACCTCGCTCGCGGACAAGCTCGCGTGCCTCCTCAAGCACCTCCGCCGCTTGAGGGACAACCAGACGCGCAGGCGGCAGGCCATGGATGCCCAAAACGACGACGGGCGGGGGGGGGCGTGGCAAGGAGCGAACGATGGCACAGTTCATGACGGGAGGAAGGCAGCATGAGGAGGGCGCATGGAGGGGACGTAGACAGAACAAGTGAAGGGACGCGGTGGAGGAGGACAGGAGGCGGTGGAATGAGGGCGGAGGGGCTACGCCAGGCGCCAATCTGGCGTAAGTTTGACGTCGGTCTGGCGCCTGTGTGCAGTCAGATTGTCGTCAGACTGGCTCCAGATTGGCGCCTGGCGTCAGACTTGTGTGGGCCCTACGCTATATTGGCGTCAGGCTGACGTCAGCATGGCGCCCTGGTGGTGTCAGACTGACGCCGCGCTGTCGTCAGGTTGACGTCAGGCTGACGTCAGACTGACGCCATTATGACGTTACCCTGACGTCAGCCTGACGTCAGCGTGACGTCATTGCAACGTCATTGTGACGCAAGAATGACGTCATCCCGACGTCATTCTGACGCCCGAATGCGTCATTATCACGTTGTCATGACGTCAGCCCGACGTCAGCCTGCCGTCAATCCGACGTCATTATGAAGCCATGACGTCAGTCTGACGTCAGCCTGACGTCAGTCTGACGTCAGACTGTCGTCAGGCTGATGTCAGGCTGACGTCAGCCTGCCGTCAGTCTGACGTCAGTCTGACGTCAGTCTGCCGTCAGTCTGACGTCAGACTGTCGTCAGGCTGATGTCAGGCTGACGTCAGGCTGACGCCAGTCTAACGTCACACCAACGACAACTTGCTGTCACAGCGTTGGCAAGTCAGCGTTGGTGTGCCGAACCGCCTCCACTCAGGCGATGATGCAGTGCGCGCCCGCCCAGCAGGAGACCCTGCAATACTTCCTGCACCTCCTCGGCGCCCCCCCCCGCCATGAGCGGCATGGACACCCCGAGGCATGCACCATGCCTCCTCATCCTCCGCCTCGTCTTCCTCCTCCGCCTCCTCCTCCTCTTCCTCCTCTTCCTCCTCCTCCTCCTCCTCCTCCCCCCAAAAATAAGGAAAGATACGCTCCTTTCATCGTCCTCCTCCTCCTCTCCTCCTCCTCCTCCTCCTCCTCCTATCTCCTCCCTCGCCCTCCTCCTCCTCCTCCTCCTCCTCGGCCTTGGGGGGTTCCCCCCCCCCCCCCCCCACCCCCCCCCCCTTGGCCGCGTCGTTCAGCCTTTTGGTCGCCGCCCTTGCGGATGGCCCCACGTCAAGTCAAAGCTCCTCCTCCTCCTCCTGCCCTTCGTCCTCATCCTCTTCCTCCACCTCTTCCTCCTCCGTCGCCCCCTCCTCAACCGCCTCCTCCTCCTCCTCCTCCCCCTCCTCCTTCTCCCCCTCCCCCTTCTCCTCGGCACTCGCCCGCGCCGTCGCAGAGCCCGGCGGCGTCGCGGGCGCCGACCCCAAGGCCGTCTCGCATGCCGAGTTGCGCCGACTTCAGCATCGTCCCAGCGGCTTCCGAGTCCGAAGGCGCGGACGGGGGGTTGGCGGCTGGGCGATGGGGACGCGGGTGTTGGGCGAGGAGAATGAGTTTTGATGAGGGGAAGGAGGTCGGCTAAGGGGAATGAGGTTGGGCGGGGAGAAGGTTCCTGGATGTGGAAAATGATATTGTACGCGGGGGGGGAGGGGGGGGGGAACAGGCGGGCGGATGAGGAGAACGAGCGAATGAGGGTGACATCCTACCAGCCCGCTGTGCTTAGGTAGTATAACGAGTTTGTTTTGTGTCTCTCTACCCCACCCCCCCACCACCCCCCCCACACCCCACCCCCTCCCCTCGGCCTGGGAGGGGATGGGGGGGGGCGGAGGCGCCGCAGCGTCCAAGATGGCCCAAGAAGGCCCCGAGAGGGCTTCAAAGCAGCAAGCTGGCCCCCAAGATGGCCCATGCGACTCCGAGATGGGCCGCTATAAACTCCGACATGCCCCCAAGAGGCCCCAAATCAGCCCCAAGACTGATCCAAGTGCCCTCCGAGCCCTCCACGGCGCCCTCAAAGATGCCCAATGTTTTTCAAAAGCCTAATGGAAAATCAATGTTTGTTTGGCAATATCGCCTTTTCGTTTCCGATGGGCTTTAGAAGCCTCCTGATGGCCCCAAGATGCCCCGCAAGAGGCCCAAGAGGGGTCCACTGAGGCAGCAGGCTGCACCCCTATCGTTCAAGAGGCGCCCAAGAGCGCTCCAACAAGGCCCCACCGTTTGAGAGCCTCCGAGGGGGCGGCGCTAATTTTGGGGCCGCCTTTTTGAGCCATGGGGCCCCAGATGACCTCGAGGGGGCTGTTTGCCTCTCCCCGAGGACCCCCCCACCCCGCCCAGCGTGGCCCAATGTGGCTCCAAGAAAGCCCTCGATAGGCAACTGTGGTTTTCAAAATTGCCAAATATAGCCGAGCATGGCTCAAGATAGCCCCCGACAGCCTCTAGCCGAGCATGGCCCAGGATAGCTTCCAAAGAGACCCCGCGATAAATGGCAATAAATTATGGATGGGCTGGTGGGGATACGCGAAGCGTCAAGAATTGGATGGGATGAGGAGTATGAGAAGGAAGAGGAATGGATGAAGACAGCTAACGGAGCGATCGCACAACGCGAGGCGACGGCGAGCACGGCGAGACGGACACCGAGAAGAACATCGACGAGACCTCTGACGAGGACGACGCGCTGGTGACGCAGGCTGATTCGCCGCCTTGCTTGGAACGCTGCGCTGCTATCGCTGCGTCGTAAGTGTCCGCTTGCTGCATCATCCTGCTTCTCTTCCTCCTCCTTCTCCCCATCCCCGTCCTCCTCCTCCTCCTCCTCCCCCTCCTCATCCTCCTCCTCCTCCTCCTCCTCCCCCTCCTCCTCCTTTTCCTCCTCCCCCTCCTCCCCCCCCCCCTCGCTACCCTGCCCCATCCCCACCCTTCCCCATGTTCTGTGTCCCGCGTCCCTTCTCTCATTGTATACTCTGTCTCTTGATATGGAAGTCTCGCTCATCCCCCCCTCACCCCGACGCAACCGCCCCCCCGTTAGGTTGCCATATTACGTATCATCCACTTCATCATATGTGGTGTCTTCCCCGTCAACCGCGCTTTGGCCCTTGCACCAGCGCCGCGCACACTTTGTGTCGAACGTTGCGGTTGGTTACATGTCATTGGGCCCAGCCGTCTGGACATTTCAAATTGGGTTTCACAGAGGTGGCGCTTGTCGATCAAAATTTAGCCTCTCCGATCAGCGCCGAGCACTTGCGTTAGCAACATTACAAACAGCTGCACGAAGGAAAATGCGATCGCTTCGAAATCTCAGCTCTCGCCTGGGCGCCGCGCACATACGTCTCAGCGTGTCAATAAAGAGGTACCACAGCTCCAAGCATTAGGTAGTGCCACCGCTGCCATTTATGTGTCTCGAGAGGTCTGGCGACCCTCCCGACCGCCCGTCGAGCACGGCACTCGGCAGCTGCCGAGTTGGCCATCATGTCTGCTTCGTCGGCGCACGCCATTGCGCCGACCTCCCCCCGCGGCTCCGACGAGGGCGCCGCGGCGCTGGTTTCTGGCAGGCCCGCGGTCCACATCGAGGTGGCCCGCCTTCGCGAGGGTGAAACTATCGACGGGGACATGGTGTCTGTGGTATCATCCTCAGACGACGCTCCCCTTGCAGCCTCTTCAGTCCATTGGCAGGCCGACGAGGTGGAGTCGACCCCTGCGAAGAAGCCCAGGAAGAGCATCACGCAGAAGACCTCCTCCGACAAGTGCGACGCCAGCTACGCGCCGAGCCCAGTCCAGCACGTCGGCCCCAAGCTGGAACCTGACAAGGCTGCCGTGCGTTTGTCGGTTGTCGTTTTTGCTCGCGCATGGGCGCGCGCCCAGGAATAAAGATGGGGAGCGGGGGGGTGGGTTGGGGGGCGCTCAACACCGCGAGGCGACGCTCGCTAGTGCCCCCGCACCCCGCCCCCGCACCCCACCCCCCCACCCCCCCGCCTCCGCCCACACAACAAGCGAATCACATGGAAATCAATACTACTGGGGGCCGACGAGGGCCGCGTCCACTCCCC